AGTCAAATAAAATAAATGTGCAATCAAAACTAAGTCATAAAAAGTTCATCTTTACTTTAACTTCTTGGAAAGCTTTGAGTTTTTGTACGTGTGTTTCTGCATGTCTTCAAGTGAATGAGCAACTTTGTGTTTGTAAGCCTTTAAAGGAGAATGTGGTGGCTATAGTGAGGAGAAGCGAACATATCAGTGTTCTGAAATTGGCCCTGTGTTTTGATGCAATGTTTTTGTGCTGCTGAAAACACGACATTATGATGGTGTAGACCTTAATTAATATTAACAATAATTCAGTGTCCACCCTAAAATCCCTCAGGTCAGTGGCTCAGAGTTTTACTGGCCCATGTAAAAACTCTGAGCCACTGACCTGAGGGTCAGTGGCTCAGGCTTTTTATTGGCCTGCGAAAAAAGCTTTAATTTTTATATTTTTAAATATTAACACAATTTAATTGAGAGAGTATTTTATAGAAATTCACTTTCAGTCTAAAAATGTTATAAACCCTTGAAATAAATATGGTCTAGTGCACACCATGCCCCCCTTAAGACTCACCCCTGTTCGAGTCCATGTAAAAAAAGGACGGCTGCTGTCAGCCTTCAGCAAGCTTTATAATTTAATTTGGTGGCAGACCAAGTTAAAAGTTCATCTGCATATTTTAATACAGCTTCTGGAGGATTACTGCAGATTTTTCACTGTGGATGACAGCGTGACAGCGGATGGAGCAGCTACAGAGTTGGCTATTTTTTTTTTTCTCTAGTCAGAGTTTGTTGATGGGTGCTCACTTTTTCCCAGTAACGTTTTTAAAGGTCATCTTCCACTGTTCCTTAAACAAAATGTTGAAGCAGAGAATTTGTGTCAAAAAATTTTTGTAATCAAATTATTCAAAATACTCAATGAATCCTTGCAGCCCTAATGTAAACAATCCATGTTCTGCCTTTCTTGATTCCCTCAGAACCATCACTCCAGAGTCCAGTTCATGTATATTTTGGCATACCTCAGCCTCATACCCTCTCCTCTCTGTTAGCCTTCCTTAAGAATGACGTCTTGACAGCCACCCTTCTTCAGTGAACTGTAGATGGATCAGCTGAAGGGGTTGATGTATCTGTCAGGTCCTGTGTCAGGTCTTTGCTGGTTTGTTTCCTATTTCTTAAGGACATGAGTTTTAGATGCTGTTCATCTAGTTAGTTGTAGGTTGGCTATTATGTGTAGACACAACACTAGTTCATCTCTTGAGTTAGGGGCCATTTTTTGTGATTCAGTGATTCATACATCAGTGTTAGGTGGCAAACAACAAAAAAAAAAAACCCAAGTAAAAACAAAACATTCCTGTGAAAGTGGTACGATACAAGGACTGGATTGAAGAAGAGAAAAAGCAGTGGAATGAAAGAAAACTTTAAAAGTTAAATTAAAAATGACAGGAAAGTCTATCTAGCTGCTTTCTGTGTGTCTGTCTTTGTTATTGTTCCGAGTTGAAGGTGATTCAGCGTTTTTGCCCTTTCTGTGAACCACAGTTCTCAGTAGTGTTTGTGTGTGTGTGTGTTTGTGTGTTTTGTCTTCATCCTTTGATCGCAGAACGTAGTTACTGTTCCTCAAAGCCCTCTGTGGAAAACCCCTAAGAGGGAATGTGTGTGTCTGCGTGTGCGTCTTATCTACACACCTAATTTTTCAGTCTAACAGAGCACCAAAACGCACAACTACCCTCTCTCTGCGCTTTAATCCCATCCAGCTGAATGGCACGGAGGGGAGAATCAAGAAACATGTAATCGGTATATGATGAGCTCCTCCGAGGGAACATATTATATGGGAAGCAGAGCTATTTGCACTATTACACTCTCATTAACACAGTGAGCCTGCAATGAGGCATTTCCACAGTCATTAGTCAGTGAATTTTAAAAACAGGTGAATTTTATGCAACAGTCGTAGAGGAGAACTGTGTGTTTGTGCATACACCGAAGCATCGCAGAGACTGTTGATCCAATGCAGTTATCGGAACCATCAACTTGTCCTCCCCGGGTGAGGTGTTTGATATGTAAATAGTTATAAAAGCAGTGATGTGGTTTCCCTCAGAGTACGAGAGCTGGGTGTTTGGGGTATTGACTCGAGCGTCTCCTTAGGATTTAGCAGCCACCTAGACAACGGCACACAGGCTGACAAAGGGAAGTGAAAGCACACAAGGTAAAGGCGGCTGAGTAGGTGAGCCGTGGTACTGTTGGTTTAATAAAGTCTGTAGATGATGGTGCTGTGGATCCTGTTCCGTAAGAGTTAGGGACGTGATTTTTTTTTTTCTGTGTTTGGTCTCAATAATGTCTGAAGGTGAAGAATACACTGACTTTGATTTAATGACAACAAGAAATACCTGCTATTACCTGCTACTAGCAGGTATAGAAGACAACACAGTACAGTGACTCACACTGATACAGGCTGACTCAGTCATGGCTCTTTTCTATATATTTTGCTTTCAAGGAGCCAGACTTTATTGTAATTTTTTAAAGTGCTCTTGAGGCTTTCTGAAGGTCTTTTTAAATGTTTTATTTTTACATTGACTGCTTTTTGTCTCTTTTTCAGTCCAGTTCTTGTACTTGACTACTTGCTTAAAACTGACCTATGAATCATTCAATCACAAAAAGGCCCCTAATTCAAGTTATGAACAAGTGTTGTGTCTACACATTACAGACTTCAGTTGAATCTGTGAAAAATGTCAGAGATGACACAGTGACAGGCATAAAATAGTTTTTCTGCACCAACAAGGTGATTCCCAAATAGGTGTTAGCTGAAAACCTGGCATATGTCAGCATGGTGTGCATTTGTGGGTCTATAAAACTACAGCTGACAAAAAGCATCTAAAAGTTATTTTCTTGATAAATGTCCTTGATAAATTGGGGAAAAATTGTCTGACTCTTCTGTTGATCCATGTACTGTTCACTCAAGCCTCACTGGTCTCAGTGGAAGGGTGGCTGTCAAGAAAACTTTCTTAAGGAAGCGAAACGGAGAGAAAAGGCTCAAGTATGCCAAATTACACAAGAACTAGACTGCATTGGAAATTCAGTGTCAGCAGGTCTGATGGAGCGATGAATCCAAATTAGGATTTTTGCTTCGAATTTTTGTCGTTATGTGCAGAGGAGGTCAGGAGAGCAGTAAAACTGAGTGTCTTCAGTCTTCTGTAAAAGCTGGTGAAGGCTCAGTCATAGTTTGAGTCTGGACCTCAACATGACGCAGTGTGGACTAATCGTGACAGAGAAATGAACAAAAGGCAGCCAACACCAACAAAAGTGCTTTGTAAAGTCCCAGAGAACTCCTCTTGAAAATTACTTAAAAATGTTGCACGAAAGCTTGCCTATGTCATGATCTGTGTGCAGCAGGCAGGAGTGGAGGACCAACGTGCAGGACTCAAGACAGCGAAATTAAACTGAGAGTGCAGCTTTTATTGCTGGACAGCAAAAGAACAGAAAACTAAATAGGCTAGGAATCACAACAAGGTTCAACAGGCAGACACAACACACAGCCAGGTATGAGGGTGTGAACGTACATTAACGAGGTGACACAGGGCTTGGAAAACACAAGGCTTAAATAATAATAATGATGGATTGCAT